CTAGAATTGTTATTTACTATAAATAAACTGATGAATATAATACTTATTAATGCAATAGATTGTGCTCCATACTATCAGTCTCCTTGATTGTATTTATTTTCAGTGTTTGAAAGTTTTAGTTGATTAAAGCAACACTTTGAAACAAAAATTAAGTTGCAATGAACGAGAGTTAAACGCAAACGGTAATGTTGACAATGCGGTAAGCTATCAGTTTTGGTGCGCTTTATACATTAAATTTCCTAAAACAAGCTGCAATATTGTTAGTAATTGTAACCTGCACACTGCAATATTTTTTTTAATATTGCAGCATGCTTATTTAGCACGTTTAACTATATTACCCCTGATAATTTACCTGCTAACAAAAAGGAGCGCCTCCGTTTTCCTCATACAGTTGTTTTGTCATCTTAAAGACTACAATCATTGATTTAATGCAGAGAAAAAGAACAATAGAATTTCATGGGGATCAGTAAATATTAACGATATTTATCTTTCTTATGTAACCAAACAATGTAAATTAATAACACAAGGATTATGAAAACAAGTACTCCAATTATGCCTATAAGCATGACGTAATGGCATGAGCAATTGCATTCTTCTAAAACTAAAGAAAAATAGGAATTTAAGTTAGACAACTCAAGGGAACGCCTCATTACCTAACTCAGAGAAAGCAGGAATTTCGACAATGACTCAAACACATGATGGTGATTGTATTAATCAACCTTGCCGGAAAAGAGAGACTGTTCAAGTCTGAATACAATAGATACCGTTTCTCATTGGCTATTCAAAGTGGACTATTTCGAGGAATAGATTCAGCGATGTCTAAGCGAAAAATTCAAGGAGTGTTGGGGAGACGAAAGTCATGAGTCCCGGTGCTCAACAAATTGGATGACAGCCTTTCTAAAGATTTCAGGTCCCCAGTGCATACGTATAGGATATTCTTCACCATATAAACGCCCCATGCTCACACGATTATACATCAATTACACCCAGAGAACTATGGGTTAGAGTGATGTATTTCTCCAATACTTCATGCTACTCTCCACTGGACAAGCTAATGGCAGCGTCAGAGACTAGTCCCAGCGACCGGTTGCCAAATTTTCATTGTTTTCGTGTAACGCCCCAGACTAAGAAACATCTTTTGCCTCTTAAATTTCCTATGCTCTTGTGCAATTGAGTGCCCTCGTGTGAACACCTTAAGGGACTAGTCCCTGCTACCGGTCCCCTCGTGTAAACCCTTCCAAGACTTGTCGTCGGGACTAGTCGCACGGACTAGTCGCATGGGACTAGTCCCCTAGTGTGTGCTGACCTTTACAGCATCATAATGTTGAGTTCAAAACGTGAGGTTGGAATCAAAATTTCTAAATCTATGTCGCTCCTACCTTTCTTGTTATTGTTTTGTAGATCTACCACTTTTACTCTTTTGATGTTCGTTTCTTCTTTTAAACTTTCACCAGGTTCATTTGTGGCCGTGATTGCAAATTCATACACCTTGCACCTTTCCAACTTGACTGCCATGTCTTTGATTGAGACGTCTGTAATTTTTCCTACGTACGACTGTCCACTTTCCTAATTTCCCATCAGTCACTATTCTTTGGTACACGGTATACTGTATAATTACTTTTCCATAGTCTTCTGGCTCCTTTCACTTCAAGGTGATTGCGTGATCTGTTATTTCACTGGGGAGGTCACACATTTACACTTCTGCCAGAGGATCTTGACTGATCAAAAACAGCAGAACATAATGTCTGACTAGTTACGTTGACGGAACATCTGAAACTAGAAAATCCTTATGAGTAGCGTAAGGAAATAGACAAATATCGTTATTGTGATTGCTTACCTTCAAACTTTGTCTTCACCCTGGCGACGACAGCATCTCCTTGAAACACAGCATTCCTCGCAAAAACTTTCACCGCGTAGTCTGTATCTCTTTCCAAACCCCCAAAAGTATATAAATTATTGTTGTACCAGGATCAGTTATATTAACAGATTGTTTATCTCTGTGTCACCTTTTAGTGTGACTACTCGGTATCCTGTGATAGGACTCCCTCCATCATCAGCTGCTGCAGTCCACTTTACTATTACTGAATTAGCCTGAATACCCTCATCTGATGATCCCATGATTGGAGGGCCCGGTTTATCTACTGTTTCATAATCATATTATAAAATGGCGAGATTATTAAGAGGCGGTCTCTCTTATTTCCACCCTGTCAATTTCGCGTCAAAAATAATTTTTGACTGAAACTCTGTAAACAGAAAGACTTTACTGAGAAGAGAACTAAATTAGATTAGGCATAAGGGGCTATAATTGTCCTTCATTCCGTGGGGACCGTCGTAACATCTCCAAAATGGAAGAATAGGCATATTTTGTAGCTTTGTAAAATATTTGATTTGCATGGTTAAGCCATAAAATTTATATCAGGTTGCTTAAAAGCCTTTCTAGTTTTCCAGGAGAGTTAGAATTTCCCTCTTATATATATTTGAAAAGGCGTATTTTTGGCATATTCTGACAACTATGAATAGCCATCGGCCGATGGTCGTAAATAACCTTGATTTAGACGTTAAGGTTTGGGATTTGGGACCTAATTGACAACTTTATCCTACACAGACGTCAAGATTAGGGGAACCTTTTGAAACGAGTTCTGCAAATATAAGATTAATTCCCTTGAAATGTCGAGATGAACTACATTTCTAGTATTTAGCTGCTTTTTTCGGCCGGTCAGCAGCGGTGGTCGCCATCTTTTACCCATGTTTCCTATGGCAGGCCGTTTGTAGCAATATTCAAAAATTCTTTCATTCAACCATTCAACTGCAATTCAACCGTTCAATTCAACCCCAATTCAAATATTCAACACCCCCATTCAACCATTCAAAAATCTGTTCAACTATTCAACCCCAATTAAACTATTCAACCCCATTAAATTATTTAGTCTCAATTCAATCATTCAATCGTGCCTTCCTCTAGACCGCTTCTTCGGCGGCATCAACTTTTCAAATGACGTTTTTCACCGTCATACATGTAAGAATTAAAAACTATTTACTGATATGGATGCTACGATAGTTTGTTGTTCGCACATGATTCAAGATGGAACTTTGAAAGCCCTAATTAGTGAGATGGAAAAAGATATCAAAGCGATTCCGCAACTTCGAGGAAAATAGCGTATTTTTCATGTATGAAAAATGATCTGGGCGCGCAAGGCATCTCGGTTGAAAATGGGCCTTTAAGATAGCTGGAAGATTGTTTCAGTTTGAAGATTACGAGAAAACACGGTTGCAAAAAAGAACTTGAAGAGTACCATGTCTAAGAACTGTGAGTTCAAAAAAAAGAAAACAGGTTTAGGAAAAAGATAGTGAGAATTTAAAACATGGCCTATAAGACATTCTGTATATGTATGAACAACAGGAGTTTCGAATAGTTTAAATCTAACGTTTGCATGGTTGACTTTATATGCTGTTGCTTCGAGGCGTTGTTTTCCTCGCCGTGATGTTATTCAGCTCTGTCCATAGCGTGCACTGTTGAGTTATGGATGTACGCGAGAGGTTGCTAAGCCCGAAAGAAGCCAGAGTCGCGCGAGGCGATATCTAAGAGCGACTTTATCCTCTTGAGTGCCTCGAAAACCATCCGTGTGCATGCATAACTCATTAGTGTACGCTGTGGTGTTTACATTGATATTTTGTACCAAAAGAGTTCCCTCTCATTTAACAAATCGTACGTCACCAGAAAAAACCAGTGCGCGGAAACTAGTGTTTGCTTTGGTTAACATTGTACACCCATGAGCAAATGATGAAAACTAAATCGCCCAATCAGAGTGCACACTTTACTTTGGTTATGTTATAGTCTCTTTGAGTCCAGATCGCGATCGATCTCAGACCAATCAAACATAATTTCCCCCACCGTCATTTTTGGTTCTCTTAGCTTACGCGCCGCACTCCCATTGGCCGAATTATCAGATTGTTCGTATCTTATCATTGGTTTCTTCTAAGTTATAACCACGATAACGGTTTTCAGCAAATCACAAGATCTTAGAAATAAATTCGAAATACGTTCTACGAAGGAGCGCTATAAATAGGATGGCTCAGCTCAATGATTTCAGCTTAAAGTCAGGTATCGTCCAATATGGCTACCAACAGAGGCATCATACACTGTACTATCAAAAGAAGCTGTAATTACCGAAAATGTACTCAGTGTGTTGGTTTGGTTCAAATGAATAAGATATCAGAATATCCGGTTTTTCTAAACCTCCATTCCAATGGACTCCCCAAGTCCCGAGTTCTTTCCCGTTCTCTGAGACTTCGACTTCTTCGCATTGAAGCTGGCGAGTTTCTGAGACGATTGCATGAATAATACCGCATGCAGAAAGTACGACTTTTAGCTAGAGTGTCATAACTCTTATTATAATCTGCAATCATTGGTTGTAACTGCTGCTCGTCAAATAATATTTTGTGGATTTTGGCGATATGTCTGACGGAAGTAATCTACCACTAACCTGAGAAAAGTATTCGGCAGATCTAGGATTTGAGTTTTCGTTCAAAACTGAAGTTCCTGGGACTCAACAAAGGAAACATCTGGGCATTAAGGATTGCCGGGGCGTATGAAAATGGCTAAAAGGCTCGTTGAATCTGACGAAAGAGAAGTCAAGTACGCAAAATGCAGATCTCGTGGAACTCTTCTCCTAGCATTCGAGGGGAAATGTGAGAGGAGAGGAGGATTGTACTTGATCTGCTTGCTGAGGTAAATCGGTGCTCGGTGGCGGTTAACTCGCGTGATCCGATCATTCTTTCATTTTTTTCTCTGCTCCCCCGGTTTAGTGGGGGACCTTAGTGAATTTCCCTTCACACTGATCTAAAATCTTTATTCTTATGGTAATCTAAATACATTCGGGTTTTTTTGGCGAGCATCTCGTTAAGCGTTGGAAAAAAAAAAATAGAAATGTTATTCATTAGCCTAAGTCGGTCCGCGTTGGGAAATGCTGTGCCCTGTCTTGAGTACCACCCTTGGCTATCCAAAACCGTGGGCACAGGTTTACCCAACACAGACCTTCCGTCTAGTGAATAACATAATTATATTTCCTTCAGTCAGAAACACTTGTGTTGACTTAAATCGTGTTTTAAGGCTTATCGTTCGATTTTAATTTCTATTACCAATATATCGACATGACTAATATCTGATTTACTTTTTACTCATTGCACTGGAAAAGTGTTCGCTTGGTGTTTAGTCTGAAATAATATCAATTTATAACGTTGCTAGAAAAATTATGGGTTGCAATTCTAAATATGTTTATAGACAAAATTGTTTGTCTATTGAAGTCTACAAATTAAAAATAAAATTTAAAACTGATTGAAAGGTATACTTTACTTCGCTTCGCTGTTAGACATCTTTTGTATACTTGCTTAATTAAAGTAGAATAAAAGGTAACGTCAAATCCAAAATAGTATAGGATCTCATAGGACTGCAAGATTTATCACACCATTATACGGCAAGTTCGTCAACATTAACGTAGAGTCGATCATCGTAATTGTTCAAGTTTATCAGCCCCTGAAAAAAAGGGAAAAAAATCAGTGGTGTACTGAGGAAGCAGTTGTATGCTCCTTTAAGTTTGCAATAAAGCTTCCTTGCTTTTGAGCAAAGAACTCAACATCCTAACTGGGTGGAATTATATTTTAAATAAGCGAAATAAAATAAAAATTAAATTTTAGAGGCCCTTATGCTGACGCCATTATCAAGTGAATCTTGCAGTGGTAGCAAACTCTATTAAAATTTCGAAGAAAGGAGCTTCCAACTACTATCTGAATACGAAATCGTATTCACTTTGGATTTTTGCTAACGGATTCAGAGAATTCCATGAAATACGTAATTGATCCTAGCTATTTCCGTGTTTTCAGAACAGGCTTTGAAACTTGTGCACAAATAAAACAATGGGTGACTTCTGATCAGACATGATTTTTCTGAGAATGTAGTCAAAATAGCTTCCAAACTCTGGTGACTTGAGGTTAATGATATTCCACAGTTGTATCTTTGTGTATGTGAGATCAAACTTAAAACGATCAAAGGTTAAAAAGCCTCTTTGTAAACTCGACAATTCTACCTTGTGCTGGTCTTCCATTTCTTTCAGTTTTGTCTTCAATTTCTCAAAAGATGGTCTCAAGTCAGGATCATCTTTCCAACAGTCTGTCATTACGTCATACCTAAAACACAAAGACGTCAAGAATATCTCAGCACATTATTGGTGGCATCGAGTAGGGCGTCATTAAGCCTAAAATGTTGCGATTTTTTCTAAATGTTCAATAGCAGCGTTTGGTTTTTGCCTTACTAATCATAAGAAAAAAAACTCCAGTTTATTGACTCATTCCAATATATCCGTTAGGTAGGCTAACTCAACATATAAGGTGAGTTTAATTTTGACTCGAAAATAAAAAAGATCCCAAAACACTTAATACAAAAAAAATTTTACAAGAGAAAAGGCGTCGCAAGAAAAAAAAAAAAACAACAACAACAACAACTACTATAAGAACAACACAATTGTTTCATACAATTTATCATCCACGTGTTGTGGTTTAGGTATTCTGTATCCCCCTTCTAGTGACGTTAAAATCTGTCTTCCATCCATCTTTGGATATGGTGAGCCACCTGAAATGAAGAAGCTACTCTTGATACACTCCAACAACTTTCTAACTCTATATTTACTAAGTTTGAAAATATGGTTTCACACTATAGTTTGAGCATCATTGCTCATTTTATTCCGAGCTGAGCCTGCCGACTTCTTGACTTGTTAATACAAGTTTTGAGGCCAAAATTAAGGGCCTGTCCAATAGCTGTGTAACTTACCAATCGTGAAAATCTCATAGAGGAGAATTCCGTAGCTCCACCTGCAAAACAAACCGGATGAATTTAGTGGATTACTGTTTCCTTTTTTTTTTTTTCAGTGAAAAAAAAAAACAACAACAACAACAACAACAACACCTTCAGTAAACCCTTTAAAGAAGGTCATTATATTTATCACATAAGCGGATCCTGGGCCAGTATTTATTACTCAAAGCCAGAAAATGTATTACCACTCCTTTTCAACGAGATGATGCCCCATCAATAAAATATAATTACCCCATTACAGAGTAGATACAATAGCTCTTCCCAGACCTGAAAAACATTTCATTCGAAGCCATTTTCATTAAACCTAAAAACTATGTTTATGTGTTCTTTGTACTCACACGTCACTTTTTGTAGAATATTTTCCGTACTGCAACGCCTCAAAAGCAGTCCATTTTAAAGGGATACGTCCCTGAATGAAAAACGACTTGAATTGATTGGCAAAAGTTATGAAAAGGTGAGAATGAGTCATAAATGTTCTTGTACTAAACTTATCACGAATTTCTACCTTTGTTAAATAACTCTAGCGGTGATATGATATGTTGAAGAGCAACCAAAAGAGCCAATACAGACAATCACACAACGTACTTAATTTCCACACCAACTTTTGGTACCTTTGACTTCATTTGATAAATGTTATCCTCTTGAACATCTCTGGCCATACCAAAGTCTGTTACTTTGCACGTTTCCCCTTCTCCAACCAACACATTACGAGCTGCAAGGTCTCGATGGATAATCTACGGCAAATCAACACAAATAACGAAACCAGTTTAGGGAGTCCAGAAGAATCGAACGAAAATACTGAAAAAGTTTGATTAATAAAACAGTTCACTATCTAAATATGGCGTTATTACTTACTGGTATCGATGACAAATATGACATTCCATCGGCAACTTGCCACGCAAACTTCATCAGCTGCTTTGAAGTCAGATTTGTTGTTGGTTTGATATCTGGGTCTTGAAAGTAAGTGTCATTTAATCCACGGCTCTTTCTCAGGTATCCCAGTAGATCTCCATAGGGAACATATTCAATTAACACCATCAATGGTCCTATCAAGCATGGGATGCGTGAAAATATACAATGTTTCTCGAATTTCTGGTGAGCAAGAGATCTGCCCGAAAATAACTGTTTGGGTTTCTAAAATATAATTTCCATATTTACCAGATTTCGTGACACATCCCAGAAGTTTAATGACGTGAGGATGGGCATCGAGTTCTTTCATCAATTGAAGTTCAGTCAACAAGTCCTTCCTGTCCGATTCACGAGCTTGATCTGAAAGAAGATCACCCAACAGCTGTTACCTTCACAAGTAATAGCAGTAACTGTAGCGAAATTAGTAGTAAATTTCTCTGAGCTCTTACTCTGAGCTCTGTGTTGCTCAGAGATGGACCATCCTACTCAAAATCATGCAGTTATGAAATAATATTAAGGTTAGGAAATGCGTTATAAGAATTTATCGTATATGGAGCTCGTGTATAAAGCACACTAAGACTGACTAAACTTGGCAGACAATCAACCCTGCTGCAGCCTTCATGCTCAGATTACACAACACAAGTAAAGTCAAAACATTATTTTCAGTCGAAAAATGCAATGAAAAAACACTACGTACCACTGCTATACCTGTATGACCATGCTTTAGTGATTTTGAATTCAATAAGCGTAAGATTTCCGCGCAACAATTACTGGGCGGCATACGCTTGGCAGAGACATTTTCTCTTTTCTTATGGGGGCTAAATGTTTAAAAGGATTATTATTTTGTTATTTCGAATTGAAAAAAGAAAACAGTGTTTGAGGTTTGTTGCATTTAAGTAAGTGGGAGGTAGGAGAGTTGATAATAGCAAGAATTTATATTTTTACTTATATACGTTTCTGCAAGTTAGTTCGTGTAAAAAAAAGGTAGATTTTCTAATGAATTTGGAAGAAAATATAAAGAACGTTTCAGATTGAAACTGAGGCCACGTGAGATGCTTGTCGTGTCTCGATTACGCAGGTCTGGTCAAATTATTCAGGGTTTAAGTGGTACCTAGTTTCAAAGCGTGTTATTATCAACTTAACATTGACTACCAGTTAAAGAATAGATATACTACCGAAATGAGCCTTTCTCTTCCCATTTAATGGAAAGCGGAGGAGGGGTGGGGAAGGTGAGAGATTGGGCACGCCTTGTTTCTTTCAGGGTTAAGAAGAAGGCAGAATTTTCGAAGTTGCATGCTGGAGGTACCTTCGGAATTTTACATTTTTTGTATATTAAATACCTTTCAACATCTTAACAGCCACAAGTGTCGTCGTTGGTCTCCCCAGGAGACCTCTGACTTTTGCTTTGGCAACCTGACCAAATGCACCTTTACCAACAACTTTTTTTATAGTCACAAGCTCTGCAGGAATCTCCCAACAGCGTGGCGTTGAATATAAAGAGGCGTATTCATTTACTGGCCCGGAAGGTTGTGGAAGGTTCGCCCGCTCTGCATCTATTATAGAAGATGACCGATTCCTCTCATCCAACGCCATGTACTGCTGGCTTTGAGAAGGCTCCGCCATTTCAATCCCAGTCTACAAACATAACCATTTACTAAGAGTACAGTGAAAAGTCTTTTAATCTTCAATTTCATGGAAATGTCTCCGCATAATATCATCATTATAATTCTGTTCTCTTTTAGTACTTGTTCTGTAAATTCATAACCACTTATGACAATATCTTTTACTCTTTTTGGGGAATTTATGGGCTCTAATACGGTAAATTTCTCCATAAACTGAACAATTCCTTAACGAGTAAAACGTAGGGAAAACAGAGGTTATTTAAATTAAAAATAGTCTTGACCAAAACATTTCCGTTCGTGTATATCGCAACGGGGACTTAAAAGGACTTCCATGCAAACCTTCAAACATTTTTCCTGTCAAAATCTGAGACCTTTCAATTAAAGACGGCTTAGAGAAAACAGTAGGTGTATGTCAACTTCTGAATTAATGACAGAACTGGCTAGGCAAACAAACTCAAGTTAAGTGTCAACCACGACTTTTCACTGTTACTGTGCCTGTAGGCAGAGAAAGAACAATCTGGACTGCGCTAAGAACCAATCAAATTTCAAGATACGTTGCTGTATCCTCTTGGTAAAACGAAAAAGAATGTACGGTCTCGTACAACAGTAAGGTTAATTGTTAAAATATTCAAGCGACCTACACCAACAATTCCTATATCTTCTGTTGTTTCTCCTTTTTTCCTAAAAATAAAAAAAAAGAATATGATACTTTCAGTCAAATTCGGTCTCAGTTGAATGAAAAACGTGGACCATTTGTTCTCATGGAAAAGCTCACCTCCGAGCACTCCATAAGTATAGTCATGAAACGATTAGTGGCAGCATGCCATATTTTACATTGCTGTAGTGGCTCAAAGAAAGTCATGATCAGGTTTCATAAATATTATGGCTAAGCATTCTATACTTAGCATTAAGCGGACTAGCTCCGAAGAAATTATAATTATTTCTGGATAGCCCGCACTTTGAAAGTCTCGTGATTGGTTTAAAAGTCATCACGTTAAAGGATGCTCTAGGAAATTGACTTTAGATGAAGCTCTTGTCCCGAGTGTAACTAACATAATCCATGTTTAAAGCTACCAGACAAATTAACAGCTGTAATTAGTTTGAAGAGAATTGAAATAGGACGATTAACTATCGTTCTAAAAATCTCACCTTTCACCTATTCCCGTTCCCAAAACTTTAAGAAGAATGAAATATGAAAAACATGAGAAAGAAAGAAAGAAAGAAAAGCCAGCGCGAAATGCATATAGTAAGTAAGTAAGTAAGAAAGTAAAGGCTGTATTTAAATGAGGGTAGCACTAAAATAGTAAAGAATACTAATAAACCAGTGGCCCTCCTAGCACCAAAAATACAATAAAAATATTAGATATTAAAAACTATGGCTTAACTACATAAAAATGAGCTATGAAAATTACAAAATATAGATAGAAAGAGATTAATATAAAGGCAATACAAAATAATGTCCTCTGATATTTATCTCATTTATGCATGGACAATTTGAATTAAAAGCGGTAAGCAACAAGTCTAGCGCAATTATTAAAATCATATAATCATAGAGACACAATCAAACGAGGTCATACAACAATCACGGTTGTGAAGTTTTCGACGTGTGTGTATTTCGTAAGTGCAATACGTCGTGGAGGACACTAGCTGTGTTCAACTGGCTTCAACTAAACCTTTTGGGATTAACGCCCGGTGCACGTGAAATCACAAATCAGCCTATCTCCTCTACAGACTTAAAACGTTGACATTTAATATTGACGATGACACTTTCGCGTACTTTTGTTGTTTTTTCTTGGATTTTCTCTCATTGTGCATTTGTCAACTTTCTTTCGGTAATTTTTAGAAGATTCGAGTCTTCACTTCATATGAAGTTGGACACTGACATTTTTCCTTTTGAAAAAGGGATTTTTTAGAACCGTTTCAAAATCTACAAACTTACCTTGTTTCTAAATGAGGCAATGGATAAATAAATAAATAAATAAAAAAGACATGACTTTTCTTCGGGGCCAAAGTTGGCATCTATACAACTCTTACCATTTGAGTCCTTGCTGCAACGCTCTCTTAACATCCATACGAAAAAGACAAATATTCCACCAAAGAGTACTGTGGCAGTTGATCCAATCACTGCACCAGTAAAAATCCCTGTGGCACCTTGAAAACAAGAGAAGAATAACACATGAAATACATGTCTTCACATAATATATGTTGGCAATTCTCCGCTCGATCATGACGTCTATTTCAACGCGTACAACTTTTAATTTAATTCCTGACAAATAACATAAAAGTCCATGAAAATGCGACGTTGATATCGACAGGTTGGAGTCCAACTAAGTATGAGAAATAAATTCCAAGTATTCCACCACATAGCCCTGCTCTTGCCTATTTTTTATGATGTTTAAAGACATTGTTAAAATTACAGAGGCCTTGCCGTATTGACCGAGCGATAGCGAGGTCAATACGGCTAAGCCATGGTTTGAGATTTCTCCTTATCGACCGAAAAGTTGTTCATTGTATGGCTTGCTAACTGAAGAAACAAAAAGCGGAAGTCGTCAATTTACATCCGGCAATGCGCACTTTTGCATGTTCGCTCATCTACCGTATTTATTCATCTATAAACCGAGCGATTTTTTAACAAAATTTTAGCAAAATCTCGAAAATCTGAGTTAGAGAAGGGTTCTCGGCTTATAGCCAAGTCTTTTTCCAAACATAATTTTTTCGAAACAGCATATTCAAAGGAAACATAGACATATTCGTATATAAGCCGAGATATTGCATGCAGAAGTAAACAACAAAACAAGTCGAAGTTAGTCATTGACTTTATTTATGTGGTTGCTTCCAAAGGAGGGGTTTGTTGTTTTCGGCGCGTAGTAAATACGGCTTACTGTTCGTGCTCAGTCTCGGCGTGGAATTCGTTGTACGTCTCCCCCTCATCCGATAGCTCTGCTGTTTCTTCCGGGTAGATTGCTTCATCTTCCGTGTCGTCTAGAGTATTAGATATTCTGCAGGTTTTGAACGAGTGTATAGATCTTGTGAAAGTGTTTTAAAAATTTCGAAACTGACCAATCAGAATTTCCCATTCCCACGACTGGTAAAGAAACTCGTCACATGTTAAGGTGTTGAAATTTGCGATCACGTAAAAAGAAAACTTACCTTGGCCTCTCTGCTCTGTAAACCAGTCAAGTAATCTCTCATCCAGCCGCGGATATCTCGGAGTGTAATGGCCCACCGTTGTGCATTTCGCTGACATCTTGAGCTCTCCATTAAAGAGAATCTCTTGATCTTTCCTCAAGCGATTCACTGATGACTTACTCTCCTGTTATTTCGGAATTGTTTTCGACGGCCGATAATTCATTGAAACTATTTTTTGTGTCGAAACTTTTGTGTTCATTTCAGTTTGTTCGAGAATGGAATTCTCTGAATATGGTCTCGGCTTATAGAAGAGTATGTTAAGAACATACCCGAATAATTAAGAACCTACCCGAATAAAACAGACCGACGCTTAGGGTCTCGGCTCATAGCCGAATAAATACGGTACTCAGACAAACGCCGGTAAAACTACACAAATTAGTGACCTACACAACTTCATCATATATTACGTCGAGAATTTGGGAAAAACAGTGCCCTAAGTCTTGGACACCATTAAGGCCGTTGACTAAGAGCATGTACTCAAAGCAAAAGGCACAGTTTATCCCAATACGGACCGACCTAGGCTGGTGAATAATAGTTATATTTCTTTCTAAAACCTGACGAACTGTTTTCCAAAAGGAAATGATTGATTTAAGGCTTTAGCAACGGCAAGACTCGCCTTAAACTGATCAAATTTTTGTAGCGAGTAGATATTGGAGACAAGAGAAGTAATTCAAATTAAACAGGGAGACTTCACTGAGAAATATTTTTAACGTTCTAAAGGCTTCCAAACAAACTTGGTAACTTTTTTGTAATAAGTATCTGATACGATCTAACAGTTGGTAATAGGCTTTTTGCAGTTAGAGATCACGTCCTTAGATACCGCCCAGCAACGCCATACCGGAGAGCAAGCACTCCAGTGATGTCTGACAACATAGAGGTCATAGAGGTCTGGGTTCGAACATAGAATACAGCGGATAACAAGTTAAAAAGTATTCCAATTCGAGAAACCCAGTAAGTTTTAAACTACAGCTTTCCTGGAGTGTATCAGCTACAAAATCATAATCATTCCAATACTGGATCGAATTTCGCCGCTTTCGTTTCACAAGTCGGCACGCAGCATAAACAACATGGCGTCTAACCAAGGTATTTGAGAAGAGAGAAGACTTGGAAAATCAACTGAAAGGCTTTTAGTTTCATCGAAAACAAGGTATGAACTTTTTGTTGAATAAATCAATTTTTTTTCTAGTGAAATAGGAATACATGACGCTGCTATAATCCGATATTCGTGCTCAAACTTCGGTGTCTTTCTTTTTCTTTCGCATCAGCTGAAAACTCCTCTCAAGACTTAGTTTTCTGCCTGATTTAACTTTTGCATTTGTGGAGAGGTGTGCAAAGGATGGGTCTGGGTGCCAAAGCACTGCTAAAGCTTATAAGTTTTTTGCTGAGCCTGGATATTTACACGACATTAAAAGTACAACATGTCTATGTCGGTGATTTCGCTTAATTGGCTCCAGTACGCTTGATCTTATAATTTTGCTGTTCTTATTTTAGTTACTTGTGAGTTGGATGCTGCTGTAATAAGAGCCCGATCCTACCGCTCAATGAAGGAGAGTAAGCCCCCACACAATCCAGAAGCAAGGACCAATCTTGTTGCTTGTTTACTGCTGGGAGATGTTCGTGTGTATCCGGTGTAGAAGGATACTGTCACCACGTAGTTGGACTTGTTTTCTACATGGCTCATTACAAACAGCTTGGTCTCCGATCAATTCCTGATGCTTTGACATACAACAGTAAGCCACAAAGATGGAGTATACCAAGAGAGAGAAAAACTGAGCCAAAAGAGATTCAAAACATCTTAGTTAAGAAACCAAAAGTAGGTGCTAATTACAAAAAAGTTATCAAGAGTACCCTTTACTCTCCATCAGACGTTTACTGTGCAATGACAAAATAGAATTTTGATAACTTTGAAACCAAACCATTGATGGCAAGTATCCTTCCAAGAGCAGAGAAGCTTGACAGTATGCCATTAGATAATAACAAATATGGAAAAGTACTCTTAGGTTCCATTCTTTCCCCAAACAACCTTTGGACTCTACTAAAACCAGATTTGACAACAGTGTCTCAACTGCCCTAACACAAAAACAGCAAGCTTCCTAAGATGCTACAACTCTGACTTAAGAAAAAACAGTGACACAAAGTGTAAAATATCTTTGACACATGCTGCGTAGGACGAGAATTGACGCCAGTAAGTTTGGTCTTGTTGCAAGACGGTAACGAGACTTTGAAAACCTAATTGAGTAGCTCAATCTATCTCGACATGTTGTAACTGTACCAATGAGATAAGGCATAGGATAAGAGGCAAAGGTGGCAATGGCCTATGCCAACAAAGCCAAGGGTGGCTCTGTAAATTTATTTCCATTCAGATTAATAATCCATCCTAAATGCCTCTGGCTTGGCTGCAGCCCAGACTGCAAGGTGTATGATCTACAAGCACTTTAGAATGGCTACAATCCTTTCGGTTGATTAGAAATAAGAGTTGTAAAGGAGGGGGGAGGGGAATGACTACGCTAATGTCAGTTATTTGACCAAGGATGCCATCACAAATGAGTATACTTTGAAGAACACTGACGTTTATTATCATCAAGTTCAGTGCCAATTAGCCCTGACTGGTCTTGAATGGTGCGATGTTTTTTCTTATATAAGTGATGATCGTTTTGTTTGTGTAAGGCTTCCTTTTGACTGAATTTTTTTTCAAGAAGATATAACATTAGTATACAAACTAGAAAAAAAGGAAACTGCACCATAAGGAGTTATCCTAACTAAACCGTTAAGTGTAGTATTGCTTTGGTAGGACGAATATAATTGAGACTGTAGTGAGAGTGAGCTTGGAGTTTGCACATGAAGTTTATGATTACCCTTGTGGTTGGATAAAGGGTACAAAAACATTCAGCCATATAACAATTGACATCCTCCCTTGAGGGCCACATTGGTTGACTTTCCAGCCTAATAATTGCACCAAATTGTTATATTTCTACTGACAGAGGATAGATGGATTCGGAATCTGTGAGCAATGTATTGCTCAAGTATCCCAATCTAAGTCGTACCAAACGACGCCATGTTGTTTATGTTGCGCCGCCGACGTGAGAAGTAAAAGCGACAAAAGTCGCTACAGTTTTGGTATAATTTTGTCGCTTATACACTCCAGGGAACTTGTTGATTAAAAGTTACTAAATTTCTAGAATTGGGATACCCTTTAACTTGTCATCCCCTGTATTCTTTGTTTGAACGCAGACCTTTGTGACCTCTATATTGTCGGAGATCACTGGAGTGGTTGCTCTCCAGTATGGCGTTGCTAGGTGGTATCTAAGCACGTGATCTGTAACTGAAAAAGGACTGTTACAGATCCAAAAAAAGCGCACCTACATTTTTTTAATGAATCTCTGGAGCACGCGGAATTAGGCAACAAGATGCGAGGACTTAAGATTCCGAACCACGATATGCTTGAAAAAAAAAATTATCATTCATTTTTGGGGAAAAAAAATGTTTCTCTGAGCCTTAAAAAAAAAAATTTTCAGTAGAGCGGTGTAATAACTTGGTGAGATGAGTTTTGTCCGATTCTCAAGGCAAAACGTCAACTGAAATGCATTAAGAGAAAGACAGAAAAGTGTTTCAAAATAGTCAAAACATGTCCGGCGTTTAGTGAAAGAACATGCTGAAGCTTCTGGAGATTAATGGATGAATTGAACTTCACAAGCCTTTTGAACGTCTAACACTATATGAAGTAGTTAGAAATACTGCTGCTCACAGAAACCATTCGATTGTTTACATCTGATCGGCCTTTCCAAAAAGTATATTTAGGGAGAATGTTGTTGCATTGATAACATGTTAATGACAGTTTTCCAGTGTGAACTTTTTTACGGTTTCTTATATTAGATGTCAGCTTGAATGTATCCTCACTTCTTTACCATTTCCCTTTCAGCACAGTATCATGAGTAATTTAAGCTACACCTCAGCAGTTCTTCTAAAACTTTAGCTGTGTGTATTGAATTTAGTCTCCTCTCTCTGACGGTTAATCGGCCTTTATAGTTTTCATTTGCTCGAGTTTTCAATAATAAATAAATAAATAATAATAAATTATAAATAAATCGATAAGAACCGCCGCAGTACTTGTCTGACATTTTGTGCTCTTTCTAAATTGCATCATAATCCATAATCGGCCCTTGAGCATTACCGCCATATAATACCTTGCTTTAATCTTTCACTTAGTCGGCCGCAAGCGTAAGCCATACGGTACTTGTAAAGATCTGTAGTCGCAAAGTGCACACTGATTGATTTTTATTGGATGAGATCTTGCGCCCTACTCTCGCACAGGGAATACTGCTCTAGTCTATCATCAGCTTGCCAGGTCGGAGTTAAGAAACAAATGCCTCGCAAGTTACTGCTTGTGCTAGATACCATAAACGAGAGTAATGTTCCAAATAGATTTTGAATAGGATGAGTGAATATGTGTTTGTGTTTCTCTTGAATCGGCGATTAAATCCCACTTTTATCAACTACACCGTTGTGGAGTTTATCATAGATTAAGATTGCTGTAGAATCTTGCAACCAATCAGCTACAGTGTATTTATCAAAAGTCTTAAGACTTACCGCCTGGTGGCGTTACTGTGCCTCCTTCAGTAGTTCCAACTTCGAAATCAACTCGCATTCTATTTCTATTTATAGCACTCACAGTGAAGTCTCCAAGCTTCCCATCGTTGGAAGCATTACGAAGTACTGTAATTACATCTTGGTCTTTTGTTGTGGAATTGAATATAAGTGCTAGGTCAACAGTTACACTTCCACATCTTTATCAAGAGAAAACATGAGGGTAAGAATTAAGTGCATTGTATTAGAAACCAGAAATCTATAACCCATCTGCTGATTTAGTCAGTTTACAAACCTAATGCTATTTTTCAACGGTGCACCTCTGAAACCTGCAAATCTCCCAGCGAAAGCCTCTTCCATCTTTAGAAAGAACAGAAAAGAGGGACTGAACAGGAGAACGAATAGTTCATCAAGCACCTTTTAAGACCAAGACACAATCTTATAAACACATGAATGTTTACTAAACGAAAATTACAGCTTTTAATAAATTTTTAACCGATAACATCTTTCAAAAACCACTTCCTAGCTTGCATTTCAAAGCGCTGCACATGCTCACTTGGAATGTTCGAGTTGATTAAAGTAGGTTTCTATTTTCCCAAGTGGCCAAAAATAATTGAACAACAACCAAAGCTAAAATTGTAATTGCATGATTTGCATATCATATAAAGCTGCAACAGCAGAAATGGTAGTAAATAGTCTATTCCCAAGAGATCATAATCTCCTGAGAGGAGTACAAAAAAAGAAAAAACAAACGTCGCTGCTCTGATTAAAATGGTTACCACTTCTTGGAGTCTCATCAGTAATGAGGATTGGTCGTATTCTCCATCAGTACAACTTTTCCTGGTGAGGACCATGGTTATGTTCATTACATTTCTAGCAAAGACTGAGCATTTAAAATAAAAGACACGATAATTAGAAACAAATGAGAGTAGATTTCTGGGTATTTTGAAGAAATCTTTGCATATCATGATTTACTTTTTATTTCCCGCATGAGTAATGCAGAAATACCATCATCAAAAATGTAAAAAGCGACCAGACGGCCACCACTTTTACTGAGTGACTCAAGCATCTGACAGGTTATCCAAGAATATTGTCAATTGACTTTGATCTCAATATTTTGGGAATGGCATCATAGAGGGCTGGAGTTTTTCAAGTCTTTAGAGGGAAAATGAGCTTCTATAAGATATTCTAACAAAGGAGTTACTCTGTGAGAAATTTTACGTGTATTAAGTTACAAAAGCTGGAGGAAAGGCTATTAAGTTAGGTACACTAGTCTAGTTTCTTTCTGTTATTCGTACGATTGATACATGTGGGTTACTTTATCAAAATTTCATATCCCAATCGATATTTCAAGCATGAAGGAATTAGTTCCTTTGAGGAATTTTAAATTTTGTAAGGCAACCTTGAAATGATCCTCTTCAGGCATTAGGTCTTTTATCACTCGGTAATGATTAGAACGAGGCATTAGTATTGATGAATTAACATACCTTTACAATCTGTTACACTAGGTGATCGGTAGTAACCTTCATTACAGATGCAACCAGTCCTGTCAGTATTAGATACTGAATTTGCAGGACAAGGTTTACATTTTTCATTACCAACAGAATCCTTGTAGAAGCCTTTCTGACACTCTAAAATGAAACAATGGGCAATTTCATCAAAATGCTTTCTCTTCAGAACACATTAATGCAATGACCCTGTAACATGCTTTTCGAGACCAGCACATTTACTTCCGTGCAAACAACTAGTGTCTGTGACAGAAACTTAGACACATCTTGATAACCGTGGCACTAGTCAAAGGGTTGGTTATCGTGAAGACAACTCCTTTTGTCTTCACTCTTAACAACTCTCGTAATGACTATCACTCAGGTTTTCGAACAACATGTGTACATAAATTTAATGTAACTCTTCATCCCAGATCTAGAGTTTTCAGACCAAGCCACTTGAAGACCTGAAATCTAAGACCCGAAAACGAAGAACCTCAAAACAAAGACCCGACCATGAAAGACCCTAATTAAAATAAATGCATATTTCTGCTACAAGAATTAGGCAAAGCAAGGACGAAAAAACAAAGGAGGTTATTTAGGTGTTTAACAATCTAAATGATCAATTATTTATTTTGGCCCCAACACTTCAGAGGCAAATTCAAGTTTTAAGTGCAGCACTAACCTCTGCATGCAAAAGAGTCTGAAGATCCATTGGTGAGTTCATAAGCATAATCACAAAGGCAGACTGAGGCTGTGATGTTCCATTCCCCATTACTAAGGCACACGCCAATTGACTTTCTATTGTTTACATTGCGCGAGTTAGGATCTCCACATTCTCCCTCTTGTTTGATTAAATTTAAATCAGTTGCTGGGGCAACTGTTCCTGGAAATCTATCGAAGGGAGCGACGACCGTTTCAGAGCAGAAACGATATCTTACAACAAACTTCCTTATTGTCAAGCAGGCTCCTTGATCTAATAATGCCAAATAAATTCCCTTTGCTTTTGTTACTATTGACCCATAGAATGTGTCTGTTGTGAGTTTATCTGGCGCAAGAAGAGTGTCTGGAGTAATAACAGTTTCTTTGTGGAAGTTTACTCTCACTGGGTGTGGAACAGAATCTAATATGTGATCCGTATGATAAGAGTAAAGGGTGAAGTTTGTTCTGCAGAATGGGCCAACGTAAGTTAAGGGGCAGTTACGAAGGGTGTAGATCACTACAATATCGAGTCGTGTAGCATCTTTGATATTAATATAATCTGTTATCAACCAGTTCTTTGGTTCTTGATCTTGGTTGTTAATATCACAGACTTTGTAAGTTGGTGATGCTGTTGAAGGATGACTCCACTGCAAGAGAATAAAGAATAAAATTATAAACATTCACTCCAAAAGTGGCGAGCTCGTGCACTAAATACAGGGAGGACTGGTACACTTTACCGAAACTTTCTACACATATACTAGACGGGTATGAAGCATTATCAGATAGGCTGATGCTTTCAATGGATGCTAAATCAATCAAGAATGAAGATCTCTACAAATAACCAAGTCTAATTATCACATTATTCAAACCAAACTCAAAATGACATAATTGTACAGTGTATGTGCTTTTTCGTGGGATATGTAGCAAAAACCTAGGTGGTTCATACGAATAAGCTTAGAACTCTTTAGAATAATAAATACCTCTGATTTTTACCGACTTATCATCGAATCTCCGTTATCTGAACTGCTAGGTAAAATCAATGGAAGTTCTAACTTATTGGAGAATGGGGAGAAGAATACTGGAATTATAAAAGATATGGAGGGAAAAATATTAGTTAACTGGTTTATGTAATTACTATGCAAATATTTATCTTAATCAGGTTCATCATCATAAAGAAAAATTGAACGTGATAGTTTACCGAAAACATTGGCACAAAAGTTCTAAAAAGGAAGTCAGTTATTTTGATGAGAGTATGTTAACATATAAGTAGTTCTCTGAAAAATTCTCTCTGTAATGACATGACAAATAAAATGAAATTTTGTTTATTAAATCCTTGATTAAGAAAATATGATTAAAATTCCTAAGATAAATTAAATCTTCCTTCCTGTCATTTTCTTTTCAAATGAGATACGTGCTATAATAACTAATAATACAGAATAAATCCGGACCCCGCGACTTGGGGTAAGGGGAAGAGACGGCTGAAATTCAGACTAAAGTGGGGTTTACTGTTACAGAATATGTATACGTGCACCTAATACCGGCAAAGTTAATGTTTAATACTAAACGCAAGAAAGACTTTTACAACACGGGCTACAAAAAACAAGTAACTCACCCCTGCTCCTTCTTCACTTCCTTTAAAAATACTCCAGTACCAAAGATCAGACCCAGGTTCCTCGCTAAGAGTTTCTGCAGAGAAATGATAACGTTATAAACTCTTACCAAATGAATTAATTATCAATTGCAACAATTAAAAGCTAAATTTGCTTATGGATTTTGGTTAAAATTGCATCTTTTTCAAGAACCAGAAATGGGTCTTTGTACTTCTCTCGGAAGGAAGCTCACATTTTGAATTAACCCCCCCCCCCACCTTCTCACCTTACTTCCCCCTTTCTCCTCCTCCACGTCGAAACAATTAGTTTCCATCAAGTAAGGAGAATAAATAAAGTGAAGTTGGAACTTTGTAGGCGAATATAGGAGGACATATTTTTTTGTTGTCTCAAGTATAGGAATAAAGAGAAAAAACCTCGGACTTATGATTGGTGTTTGGCTTATACCCAACTCAGAGTTTTCACTACATTTTCCTTCAAAAAATGTAAGAGACATATAACCGCTTCCATTAAAGCTGAATGCTACCGCTTTCGATAGAAGCTGCAAAATACTTCATAGTTCGATTGACGCGTCCATGATTAGTGCTTTTAGATACAAAATTGTAGTTGGCGTTTCAGTTGAGGACAAGATCCCTCGCTATCAAGACCCATAAACGTTGCTGAGCAACCACTTACGTTGTGATTATGTTATGTACTTGTGATTTAACGCAAAACTTATCGCGAGTGTTTACCCTTCTTTTCAGCTCTTTCAATTGCCACGACGCCCTTTCTAAAATTGAGATTATTCCTTAGGCCATGATCACTCATTACTTTGACTGATAATTTTTCAATGTAATGATAAGTTTTTCGCCTCGATATATGGACGCCTCAAGGAACGAGGGAAGGAATAAAGGTAGAAAGTTCCTTAATTACTCTGATGTCTATCGCATGTGCATGTGTCAACGCGGAAATAGAGATTAAATTCTACCTTAAAAATAAAGCATTTACAACTTTGCACTCAGCTTGTAAGGCTTACAGACAACTCAGTTTCACCAAAATATAAAACAGTTAAAATAGCCTCAAACAAAAACGAGCTAGTGGCTCCTGAAGGAGGCCTTTGAGTGGGATTAAAGCTTGTAACTGAAAGCCGAAATTCGCTTATTAACTATAAAATATAATCATTATAGCTATATCTGTGAAAAATGAAACCAGCTGGTTTAATTAGACATTTAAGCGATGTGATCAAAGTAAAAGAATGAATTGTTTACCTTGCATTTACAGAGATTGTTAAGTTTTTTGATCGAATTGTAAATATCACCAACCAAAAGCATTGGTTCCCATGGGTAGACAAACAAACTCAAGTGCAATTGTTCTGGATGGAGATCAACGAGCTGGAGTTTTTTTAATTTCCTCAGAGATCTTAAAAGCCATATTTTAAGAAGTGCGGACTCTTTCGAAAGATGGCTACAAACTACAACCACAGACATCGACTGATTCCTTAAGCTTTTGTTTGAGACTACAAGATTTAATTTTAGAAGTCATGTTAGGGAATCAAATTTAACTGTATGATATTCACATTAGGTAGATGTTTCAGTGTTTTGAAGATTCATTTGGTTTCGTTTATCAATTCAACAACCAACCATGTTTCTCAGTAAGATGGACATTTTAGATTAAAGGGTGAACTCTTTCTTAGAGACTTGGTTCTTGGCTTCTGAGGAAGAGTTTTCCAGATTCTTTTGACAAGCTTATGTCCATCGCCAGGTCTCTTAGCTTTAGGGTCTTGGCTTATAGTTTGGTTCAACAGGATAACATATGAACCTACTATTTCTCCAGCTCACCATACAGTTCTATCTAGCTCAGAGGTAGAGAATAAAAGCACTAAATCTGAGACAGTGAGGTTCCGAATCGTCATTGGGAATAGCATTATTTCTTTGACCACCCCTCTAAAAAGGTTTTGATGGCAGTACCCTCAGGAGCACAATCTATTGTAACCACACATTGCTGGGAATAGAAAAGAACTGTGAAAGTAAAGCATCCCTAAAAAAAAAATCCAAGCGTAGCAAATAAAATACTCTTACTTAA